CATTCCAAGCTGTCAACATAAATAGGTATTTACTGCATTCCAAGCTGTCAACATAAATAGGTATTTACTGCATTCCAAACTGTCAACATAAATAGTTATTTATTGCATTCCAAACTGTCAACATAAATAGGTTCTTATTATATCCCAAACTGGTTTATATTGACAGTTTAGAAAATAACAAGTACTCATTTATGTTGATGGTTTTGAATACAATAAGTACCCATTTATGTTGATAGGTTCTTATTATCTCCCAAACTGTCAACATAAAAGAGTACTTATTATATTCTAAACTATCAACATAAATAGGTTCTTATTATATCCCAAACTGTTAACATAAATGAGTATTTATTATTTTTGAAACAACTAATTTGACAGATCATACTGTGAAAACATTTATGATTTTTCTTAATAAAAACACAGACACCTGTCATTGATTAAACTTGTATCAAATTTTAAGCTAAGAAGTTAAAAATTGAGTACTTGCTTTTTCCAATGCTGATCTCGTGATAAGATTAGAGGGTTACCTACTATGATTAACAAAGCCTTTGCTCTAGTGATGGCAACATTGAACCTCTGTAAAGAAAATGATTATTAGACAGTTTGATCTTATATGATGAATAAGCTAGAAACCTTAAAAATCATTAATATTTAACATTAACACATATCTCTAGAATAAATCAACAATGATATGTACATTTTGAGTGGAACTCAAATAAAAAAAGAGGAACTTCTAAGTCAATCTAAGAGATTCAAACCAACAGTTTGCTTCACAATTTTGCATAAAGCTATGAAAGGGCCACCTGTGTGCTAACCATCCCTAATTTGAACTAATAAGATTAGAAGGAAAGCAGCTACTCAACAACACCTTCCACTAACTCATAGGTTATTCCTTTTAGATTGAATAGTGAGATTTACTCGTCACATTTCTAAGTTAACATTTTCCTACACTGAAAATGTATTTGCGATAGGTATTTATTACATTCCAAACTGTCAACATAAATAGGTTATTATTATATTCCAAACTAGGTTCTTATTATATCCCAAACTGTCAACATAAAAAGGTTCTTATACTATTCTAAACTGTGAACATAAATAGGTTCTTATATTTCAAGCTATCAACATAGTGATAGGTAATTTCCCTCACCCACAGCTATCTCGACCTTGATTTACCCTCTAAGCATTCCGAACATTTTTTTGCTAATAGTGCACCAGTCTGTTATACCCCTTTTATTTCATGCCATTTCAGAACATGTGAATATCTACTCTTCACCAATCATACTGCGGCATCTATACTTGAGCAGGTAGCTCTCTCTACTATTCTAGCACAATCCTCACTTTTGAGAACTAGTAGTTACAAACTAAAGCACCGACATATCAGTGGGGAGGAAAGGTGGGAAATGGGTGAATGGAGGCAAGTACCTATCAGAAATACATTTTCAGTGTAGAAAAATGTTAACTTCTGAAATGGTAATACATCCGCTCACCCAAAGCTAGAATTACACATTGAAAAGGTGGAAGGGCCAGTGAAGGCACAACAGTATTCAAATAAGTGAATAACGACCACTTGAAAGGAACATGTGTGCCAGAAGAAAGTAAAGCACTACTTCTGGAATAGGTACGTTCCTTGTCCAGTAACTAAACAGTAATATATATATATATATATATATATATATATATATATACACACACACACATACATATAGGGCAGAATGTATGAGGCGGGCACCATATACTCAAGAAAAAGAAGTACATCACTTTGCTTTGGAGCAGCACAGTATAACTATGACATGAAACAACATAGAGTGGACATACAAAATGTCTAGTATGTAATCCACAATGGACCCAAAGAATTATGTGTCAAGGGAAGAGTTCTGGGGCACACTTGAGCAAGTCCATTGATGTCTTGTTGAGAATAATGGTAGTAACAAGAGCAATCTTCCCCTCAAAAGACCGTTGTCAACATAGTGCATTATTCTTCCACATTTGTAGGTCATAGTATGTGATATAGGGCTAAAGGACATAAGTTTTATATAAATAGCCCAATAGAAGTGCCTTGCATAAGATACAGAGATTAACAAGTGTGGTCTGCCTGGGCAAAACCCAGGGAGAAGCACCTTGAATATATATAGGATTAGTCCAAGCATGGTCTGCATGGGCAAAAACATCCAGGGGAAGCATCTTGGGATTCTACTGAGTAAGTCAAGCGCAGTCCAATCGGGCTGAAACATCCAGTGGAAGCATCTTCCATAAACATGTATATTATGAGCAACAAGTGCAATCAGCCCAGGCAAACATCTGGGGGAAGCACCTTAGATCCTGAATAGTATATTATTGTATATTCAATAATTATAACAACAACAGCCCTCGCCTCGCTGAGTTGGTACTTATAAGTTATGAGTTTGATTTCTTTCATTGTACAACTCCAGTCAGGAGGAAACGTCCATGGTCCACCACTCCAGTGATTAGGAACCAGAGTGGTAAGGACTCCCATGCTCCATGTGTTGTGGAGTCTGGAGACTGTGCAATAGTTGTCTGTGATTCCCTATTTTGAAAAGCAGAAAGACCCAAATTGTAAGAATCACAGGTCAGTGGGGATGGAAAAAATCCCCATCTGCTTTACTCATGAAGTCCATTAGTGACGGTCCTTTATATAAAATACATTGATAATAAAAAGGTTTGATATATACACACACATATATATATATATATATATATAT